AAACGGGTTGCATTCAAATAACCTCGGAGCACAACCTACACGAGAAAACCAAGGTTTTCCAAGTCAAGAAACATAATATGGTGCTGACTAAACAGTTCCTTCTGTCATCGGAGGTGTCATTCCAACTTTAAGAATGAATGTCGTTCTTGGAGGTCGCCCACTGCCTATAGCAGAAATAGATAAAAACCTGCCGCGAAAAACAAGAATTACTCTGGCACAACTGAGATCGGGAGACCGTGCCGTCCCAAATATATGCCCAGCATGTGGTCAGATACCCACCACATAATCCATTGTCCAGCCCACCCTACTTTACTTAGCACAATGTATTTATGAAATAACTCTGTTGAATTAGTCTAATTTCATGGCTTGGACCTAAATACAGAACCACCGGATTAAAATTGTATGTTTTAAGCAGTTACAACAACAAAGACAGTAAAGTCGGTGTGGCTGAGTTGACAATCCTTGGTCGTTGTTCGTTGAACTCCGAGTCGTTCCGGTGCGAAGAACCGATTGTCGTGGGAACGTGGGAACACCGACTTTACACGTATGTATTCTCTATTCTTCTTTTTTCTTTTAAGGGGCAGACTATTCCGGCAAATCTGCTCCGTATTCTTTTGGTCCGAGCCGGAGTTGAACAAAATCGAGGACCATGGTACTGCTCTGTTTGCCACGGAGTTCTGCACTCTAACAGACCATCAGTTAGGTGCACCGTTTGCAACGAGTGGGTCCACTTCAGGAAAGATGCCAACCGTAACTACAGCGGTCTGAATAATCTTGGGGAGTGGAGTGATGGTTTCGTTGCCCCGTGTTGCATTAATAGACAACGCAGCCCTTCACCGTCCTCAGCGTCATCAACATCGACGCAATCGAGCACGGCTACACCTCCTCCCCAACAGCATCTAACACAACAGCAACACAGGCCACTACAACACCCACAGCCACAACAACAAATACACTCGCAGCCACTAACACCTCAAATTGCTGCCCATAGACCTGAAGTGTTAACATTAATGCAGTTTAATTGTAACGGCCTCCTTAGTAAGATCACAGAGGTAACTCACTTTATGCAGCATCATAAAGTCCAGATCGCAGCGATCCAAGAAACCAAATTAACGTCCAGCTGCCAATTACAGCGTTGTAATAATTACAACATCTTGCGAATGGATCGCGCAAGGAGCGGTGGTGGAGGCATCGCATTCATCGTACACAACTCTGTGCAGTACAGACTCATTTCGCCTGACCTTAATAACCCAGATCCAAACATCGAACACCAGGGGATTGCGGTTAAGTCAGGTGCTGCCGAAATTGAGCTGTACAACGTGTACATTCCGCCAGTCAACAGCTTACCTGCAGGCTATCACCCTGACATCAAATTCCTCCTGGAAGGTGATAACCGTGTCGTGATGGGAGACTTCAATGCTCATCACGAGCTCTGGCACTCGAATCTCGGGGATGACCAGAGGGGTATAGCATTTGCGGAACAGATAGACAACTCCACGTTTTGCACAGTGAATGACGATGCCCCCACCAGAATTATGGGTAGTTGCACGAGCTCGCCAGATATAACAATTTGTAGTGCTGGTCTCTTAAACTATACGTCCTGGCAACCTATAGTTTCGCTGTCATCAGACCATCTACCCATAATAATAAAGCTTGACAAACCGACGGACTTTATAGTCTCTGAACGCCGGACTTATAAAAATCAAAAAAAGGCAGACTGGATAAGCTTCAGAGAGTTTACCAACCGCAAGTTTAGGAATTTACCCCCCCCTTCTGACGTGCGCTCCGCAGAAAGGGAGTTCCGGGAAATCGTCCTTGCTGCCGCTGCTCGTACAATACCTGCTGGTAGAATCCCGCTTATAAGACCAAATTTCCCAGCAACAGCGGCGGAACTAGCAGATGAGCGAGACGAAATCCGAAGAACCAACCCCAGCGATCCCAGAATTCAACAGACGGTATATCCATGTTGATGCTGAAAAATTTAGATGAACCGGGAGTTGAGTACCTTACAAAAGTCCTCAATTTGTCGATGTCAACCCTTATAATACCCGAGGTCTGGAAATTGGGCAGGGTTGTTCCCTTGCTGAAGCCAGGGAAAAGTGCAAACCAGGGAGAATCTTACAGGCCTATCTCCCTCCTGTCACCAATTGCCAAGACGCTTGAGGCACTACTCCTCCCGGAATTACAACAACACCTACATCCTGCAGATCATCAACATGGATTCCGCCTAAAGCACAGTACAACAACAGCTTTAACCGCCATCACCACACAAGTTTGCCGCGGCCTTAATCAGGCCCGACCATGTCAACGAACGGTCCTCGTGGCACTCGACCTATCAAAAGCGTTTGATACGGTCAATCACGCCATTCTCTTCAGAGACATTTTAACATCTGGTCTCTCTGACAACACCAAGAGATGGCTAGTGAACTACATGTGTGGTCGACAGTCATTTGTGGAGTTTAGGAACCAGAGATATAAATCTCGTAGAATTAAACAGGGAGTACCCCAAGGTGGAGTTCTTTCGCCGATCCTGTTTAATTTCTACATGTCTAAACTCCCAACACCCCCGGACGGCGTCCAAATAATATCTTACGCCGATGACTGCTCGATATTGGCCACGGGCAATAGTATTGATGACCTTTGCGGCTTGATAAACAGTTACCTATGTGATATTTCCAGCTTCTTCCATTTAAGGAATTTAAAAATATCGCCTACGAAATCCTCAGCTACTCTCTTCACCACCTGGACTAAGGAAGTAGGGCTAGAACTGGATGTGACAGTCGATGGCGAAAAAATTCCGACGGTAAATCACCCCAAAATACTTGGTGTCACATTCGATAGCCTCCTTATGTCCTCAGCGCACACCACTGCAATCTGCAACAAGATGCGAAGTAGAAACAAGGTACTCAAGTCTCTAGCCGGCAGCACTTGGGGAATGGATAAAGAAACCTTGTTGACTACCTACCAAACGATTGGCCGGTCAGTGGTAAACTACGCAGCGCCAGTGTGGACACCTAGAGTTAGCGACACGCAATGGAAGAAGCTTCAAAGCTGTCAAAACGCAGCCCTAAGAACGGTGACAGGCTGCATTCAAATGACATGCGAAGAACATCTGCATGACGAAACGAAGATGCTTTCAGTTAAGGAACATAACATCATGCTGTCAAAGCAGTTCCTACTGGGATGTCATCGGAGGGGCCACCCTAACCACCATTTAACGGAGTTAGAGCCCCCCCCCCCCCCCCCGAGGCATGTCAGGAAAGATCTTCGTATGTATGAGAGTGACATCCAAGAACACCTGGATGATATAGAGGACGAAAGCTCATACAGGACAGCTTTGAATACTATCCATCAACAGGCGGTGGAAGACTCCATCAATTCCCACCGAGATAGTATAATACTGGGAGGTCGTCCCCCACCCGTTGCAAACGAGGAACGAAACCTACCACGTCGTACTAGAGTGGTATTGGCACAACTAAGATCCGGATGGTGTACCCGTTTAAACTCGTACTGGTCGAGAATAAACGACACCATTCAAGATCTTTGTCCTGCGTGTGGAACAGGCCCACACAATGTTCAACACCTTTTTAACTGCAGGGCAAATCCAACTCAGTTGGAACCTGAATCCCTTTGGACTCAGCCGTTGGATGCGGCTCGTCTACTGGGTTTAGATCTAACGGAGTTGGATAACCAGAGCGAAGAAGAAGAAGAGTAGGGAATAATGTTTAAATATATATACGTGTAATTTCAGGTGTCGCTGCTACAACAACAACAACAAAGACAGTATATAGGGTCGTGATGGTGTTGTATGCAAAATATTATATCTCAGGAGTCATATAAACTTGTAGAACTTTTATTTTCTATTACATTTGTCAGGTAATAATTTGATTTCCACTGCCTTCGGATATTCCATTGTTTAGATGATGTATATTCCTTGGTTTCTAATACATGTTTCGAAATTACACGAACGATTGTTATATTTACAGTTATTTTCAAACTTCTTTGAGACCTCTAAGAATGTAGCCACGTTGTTGGACCCTTTACTCTAATGGAGCGATTCTTAAAGAGTTTTTAGTAACTGTTTTTGGACCGTTGGACTCTAATGGATCGGTTCTTAAAGAATTCTGTAGATTTTTTATATAAGAATAAGAAAAACTAGACCGCTAAAGCTTCGATGTCCACTGCCTTAGTAGACGCCCAATGTTTAACTATTGTATCTTCATAGTTTTTCCAACTTCCTGGAGGCCTCCAAGAATGTCGCCACTTTTTTTGGACCCTTTATTTTGTACATATTTTTAGGTATTCTATATACTTATAAGCATTAGAGCGTAATTGTTGGATTTTTTGGGACATATGGCCCTATATCCGACAGTCAGGTGCCATCCTGTGCTTATCTAATAATTACAGCACATCTGAATCTTTCATCCATAGGCAAGCATTACAACTCCTTCTAAGCAATAGCTCGATTCTACATGAATACAAGAATAGATGTGATTAAATTTTACCTAACACTTTTTATTAAATCTCTCTCTAATATCTTCACGACACCAATGACGGTTCATGAAATTCCATTTTCGAAAATATCGAATTAAAATTTTAATTTAATTTGTTTTTCAAAAGTAAACATTGCAAATATCTGAAAATCATAATCTTTATATTATAAAAAGCTCCGATTTTTTTGTATAACTATAATTTATTTACATAATTATAAAAATAAAGCTTTAATAAGTAGGAATTATAAATTATCGCACTAAATTCATAAAAAAGAACTAAAAAATCTTATTAACAAATTTATGAAAATATTATTCATAAACATTTTTACTTAAATTTCGTTATTTTTTATGAATAAAGTATTTGGTTGTATGCATATAGCGTTAAATAGAATATTAAATTATTCTCTAATTTATATACAAAATTTTAACAAAAATTAAATAATAAATATTGAAAAAAAAAAAAAATTGCTAAAACAATTTTTTTTTATAAAAATATTTTGTGATTTGTTTTTTTTTTATATTTACACCCTGAAGCATACAGTCTGTGACTAGACCAAACAGCAGAAACAACACTAGATCCTCTAGAGAGAGGGATGACTCGATTATAACACTATTTTGCGTAAAATACTTTTTGGTACTTTAGTCTTCTATAACCGTAAAGGAATGTGTTTGGCCTTCGTAGGGAAAAATACCACCTAAAATGTATTTGTAATTGCCAAAGTGACGTATACGATATTCACCGGGTAATGTATTGGGTCCAATGGACCAGTGTATGTGAACATCACTGAAACCCAAAATCAAATGTGTACGTTCCCATATAAATCTGCAAAGAAAGCATAAATTTTAAATACAATTAAGAATTTAACAAATGATATTATTTATTTTATTACTTAGTGTCCCAACTGGCATCGGTGTGCACAACTTTCCATCTCTCCTCATTGATTTTACGTTCTACCGCAAGATATGTTTTCTCATGGAATAGATTATTACGTGGATTGCCCGAAACGAAAGTAACCTCGACCGTATCATTAATTTTATATTGCTTTTTGGGTTGTTTCTTGACATAACCGAAATCTTTGTCCAGAGGATGGCCATCGAATATAACACCTGTATTCATGGACAACATACGATCATTCATGTAAGGAGGATTTGGACCAGGGTCTACAATTTCCCCTCTTAACATGGCCTTAGTTAAACGTTCAAATACATCCATATATATAGTATGAGTATTGGGTCCGAAAATTGTTGAGGCGGCTTCATAACGTTGAGCTTGATATTCTTCCGGAGTGGTGATATAACTAGAGTAGAGATTTGATAAACCTGCCAATATAACATCAACATCTTTGCCACCAGTAGCTGCTGCTACAGCTCTCACTTTATTACGCAAACGTCTGCCAGCCATGGTGGTAAACTCTCCAGGCACGGCGGTAATAATCAAATCACCAATTTGTACTATTTGTGTGGGTACAATTTTCGGTTGCCATTCATAGGGGAATGTGGCCTGGAAGAAATTATAATTTTTAATAGATTTTATTAAAATGTGTTAACTCCAACTTACCCTTCCAGTAGCCAAGAGTATAGGTTTTGGTGAATGACACGAAATATCATCTTGAGTGGGGGGTACAATAAAATCACGCACTAAATTCCACATGGCATTTTCCGTTAAGGTACCCTGTTCAAAATTAAAAGCACCAGGACCATCTGTAGTACCCGCAGCAAAACTATAACCCATGGCTGGTTGACAGCCACGAATTTTATCAATTTTACGCAATAGAGGACTGTAGGTGGTGCCATTGTAATTGGGCATATCAACAAATTGATGAATATAATTTAAATCGCCGGTAATTTCACGTCCATTATTATCTTCTTCGCTAGCTTCGTTAAGTAATCGCTGCAGATAAGGAAACATATTATTGTTTTTTATGAGAGTGTTTACTAGTTTAAAGTTTGTGACGGGCGATATGCGATTAGTTATAAATTTATGTTGGTACAGTTCTACTATAGTTTTAGTTCAGTTTTAATATAGTTCTAGTTAAGTTCTAGTTCAGTTCTAGTTTTGTTCTAGTTCAGTTCTAGTTCAGTTCTAGTTCAGTTCTAGTTCAGTTCTAGTTCAGTTCTAGTTCAGTTCTAGTTCAGTTCTAGTTCAGTTCTAGTTCAGTTCTAGTTCAGTTCTAGTTCAGTTCTAGTTCAGTTTTAATTCAGTTCTAGTTCAATTCTAGTTCAGTTCTAGTTCAGTTCTAGTTCAGTTCTAGTTCAGTTCTAGTTCAGTTCTAGTTCAGTTCTAGTTCAGTTCTAGTTCAGTTCTAGTTCAGTTCTAGTTCAGTTCTAGTTCAGTTCTAGTTCAGTTCTAGTTCAGTTCTAGTTCAGTTCTAGTTCAGTTCTAGTTCAGTTCTAGTTCAGTTCTAGTTCAGTTCTAGTTCAGTTCTAGTTCAGTTCTAGTTCAGTTCTAGTTCAGTTCTAGTTCAGTTCTAGTTCAGTTCTAGTTCAGTTCTAGTTCAGTTCTAGTTCAGTTCTAGTTCAGTTCTAGTTCAGTTCTAGTTCAGTTCTAGTCAGTTCTAGTTCAGTTCTAGTTCAGTTCTAGTTCAGTTCTAGTTCAGTTCTAGTTCAGTTCTAGTTCAGTTCTAGTTCAGTTCTAGTTCAGTTCTAGTTCAGTTCTAGTTCAGTTCTAGTTCAGTTCTAGTTCAGTTCTAGTTCAGTTCTAGTTCAGTTCTAGTTCAGTTCTAGTTCAGTTCTAGTTCAGTTCTAGTTCAGTTCTAGTTCAGTTCTAGTTCAGTTCTAGTTCAGTTCTAGTTCAGTTCTAGTTCAGTTCTAGTTCAGTTCTAGTTCAGTTCTAGTTCAGTTCTAGTTCAGTTCTAGTTCAGTTCTAGTTCAGTTCTAGTTCAGTTCTAGTTCAGTTCTAGTTCAGTTCTAGTTCAGTTCTAGTTCTTTTCTAGTTCTGCTAGATCGCCTTTGAATCTAATGTAATCCCCAAATTTTACAAACACTTACCAGAGCACCCTCGGCCAAACGTTCACCAATAATTTTCGTACTCTCGAACATATCCTTACCAGGACCCGAAGCAAAACATTCACCTTCTTTTGCGGGACATTTAGAAGTAAGTAAATCACAAGGGTTGCCGGTAAGAGAACATTTAGGACCCAAAATATTAGGCGAAACATCACCCAAATTGGAGGAACAGAAAGCACCCACAAATTTGCCCTTAAAATAGAAATGATAAATAATAACTTGTTCCATTAAATAAGATCATTCAATACTCACCTTTCCGGGCACCTTATTAGCATTATATTCTTTCTCTAACAATAAAGAAGCATAACCCACATTATCACTGGATACCAATTTATTGGTATTATTCATGGAAGTAGCATGTACAGCATACCAATTGAAGACACCCATTATATTATTCTCCTGATCGACAAAACGCAATTGAGTAAGTTCTTTATCCACATCATGTTCATATTGGGCACGTTCCTCGGCAGGGTTGCGTAAATACGAGGTGGGAGAACGATTGATATTGACATTAAGGATAACAGTACGAGAAAGATAAATTCGGCCATCTACCATATTATCGGTGGCACGTTTAATACTCTAAAAACATATAAAAGAATTAAAATAATTATTTTTCTCTTTTATTAAAAAATATCTCTTACCAAATATATACCATTAGCCATGGCCTCAAAAGTTTGAGGCACAAAGCCTAAAATTGATATATCATATAAAAGATGCATTAGAAAACCACCGGGAGCTCCATGAGTATGTGTACCACTAATTACAACGTTTTCATTGGTGTAAATATCTCCATATCGTGCTTTCAAACGTTTAATTACCTACAATTAAAATTTAGTTTTTTGTTACTTTTTTAATGTTAGATTTTCTGTTAACATTTTAACATGTAAAACACGAACAAAATAATTAAAATAATTTTTAATTTTTTACATGTTTTTTATGTGTAATTTAATTACCTCACGCTTCACGCCGTAGCCCATCATACCGGCATCTACCGACACAAAGGCGATACGTTTATTATTCTCATCTTCTACTACAAAAGCACGGGCAAATTGTCTCAAGTGTATGCCTCGGCCAACTTGTTTGATGCTGGCATAACCCATCTGAAAGATGATTAAGATTTTAATGTATTATTAAACTTACTGGAGAACTAAAAATAATTTTGAGTTGATCGGAATACCATGATTTTTCTTCCCTGGGAAAATCTAAATTTATATTAAACAAACGATCTATAAAAATTGTTAGATCAATCAACAAATCCAAATAAAATACACCTAGCTCAATATCGAGTCTATTATGCGTTTTATTATTCCAAGTGGTCTTACAGGATTCTCTGAACCATATTTTTATGTAGCCCTCGTCGCTTCGAAAGGTTTTGCTTCCTCGAGTTCCCTTCTCCTTAAGAGGTAAACTTTGTATCATATAGGTACCAGGACATTCGGGAATAATTCGCATCGAGTAAGTACATTCGCTCTTTCGTTACCAATTATTCCCGAGTCTCCTAATAAGAGCCTTGGGTGCTGTAGTGCTCATAGCCAAGTTATATCCAAGAACGTACGCTGAAGTTCCTGCACCTCTTTAATATTACTCACTAACCGATGACAATTAAAGTGCACACCTAAAAAGATTATTCACAGATTTCCGAATTTTGCACAAAACTTAGCTTTCTGTCCATAGAAGTTTATAACTACTATAGGCAATACCGCCCGTCAACAAAATGCCAAAATCGCCACTGATAATGAAGCAATCGTTCACAAATTTAAATAGAATATCAAAGGTATTCGAATTTTGCATCCAAGCTTGAAGATTAAACGTAGGTGATTGAAATGAGTGGGGAGTTTTAAGTTAATTACCATATTAGACAATACCGTTCGGCCTTCAAAGTCGAGTCTCCAATGTTCAATGGAAAGCTATCAGACAAAAAACACTAGTCAAACAAAAAAATGCCAAATCTAAGGATGCCCTCGTTATTATCCAAAATTTTCTATCAAAACTTTGGATTAGACCTGTATAAGACTAAAACGTATCGGTAGCTTTAAGTTAATAACAACTATAAACAATATAGTTTATGACTATAGTCAAACCTATAGGTTTGGTTTAGAGGTAAAAACTTTACAATTAACAGTGATCACTACAAATCGAGAGAGTTAGGATATATTTTTCTTTTTAATAGTTGACCTCTAAAGGCAAGTTACATGCCTTTAGAGGTTTTTCGATGACTTAAAGAGCAATTTATAAATTGTTAATACTTACAAAATTAATTTCCACTGGTGGTCCCGTTATATCGGCTCTACCCAAACCGATTTGATAGGCTTCCGCCGTTTGCAACACCCACGATGAAAGGCATAATAATGCCAATAAACTGGCTATACTATAAAATTTGTAATTCATTTCCAATTCAAATCGTTCAACAAATCATAAGGGAGGTTTCGAATATATACAGCCGCACAGAATTAAAACTGTAAAAGAAACAAAGAAATATGAATTTTTACCAATATTTAAAATAAGAACTTAATAGATAAAATTATAACATTGTTTCAAAACAAATAATTATTTATAAATAAAGAAGTATTTTAAATGATAAGACGACAAGTAGTGGAGACCAAAAGTTGAGCACAAAATAGTTTGTCTAAAAATTAGTCTAGTCTATAGTCTAGTCTATAGTCTAGTCTATAGTCTAGTCTATAGTCTAGTCTATAGTCTAGTCTATAGTCTAGTCTATAGTCTAGTCTATAGTCTAGTCTATAGTCTAGTCTATAGTCTAGTCTATAGTCTAGTCTATAGTCTAGTCTATAGTCTAGTCTATAGTCTAGTCTATAGTCTAGTCTATAGTCTAGTCTATAGTCTAGTCTATAGTCTAGTCTATAGTCTAGTCTATAGTCTAGTCTATAGTCTAGTCTATAGTCTAGTCTATAGTCTAGTCTATAGTCTAGTCTATAGTCTAGTCTATAGTCTAGTCTATAGTCTAGTCTATAGTCTAGTCTATAGTCTAGTCTATAGTCTAGTCTATAGTCTAGTCTATAGTCTAGTAGTCTAGTCTATAGTCTAGTCTATAGTCTAGTCTATAGTCTAGTCTATAGTCTAGTCTATAGTCTAGTCTATAGTCTAGTCTATAGTCTAGTCTATAGTCTAGTCTATAGTCTAGTATATAGTCTAGTCTATAGTCTAGTCTATAGTCTAGTCTATAGTCTAGTCTATAGTCTAGTCTATAGTCTAGTCTATAGTCTAGTCTATAGTCTAGTCTATAGTCTAGTCTATAGTCTAGTCTAGTCTAGTCTATAGTCTAGTCTATAGTCTAGTCTATAGTCTAGTCTATAGTCTAGTCTATAGTCTAGTCTATAGTCTAGTCTATAGTATAGTCTATAGTCTAGTCTATAGTCTAGTCTATAGTCTAGTCTATAGTCTAGTCTATAGTCTAGTCTATAGTCTAGTCTATAGTCTAGTCTATAGTCTAGTCTATAGTCTAGTCTATAGTCTAGTCTATAGTCAAGTCTATAGTCTAGTCTATAGTCTAGTCTATAGTCTAGTCTATAGTCTAGTCTATAGTCTAGTCTATAGTCTAGTCTATAGTCTAGTCTATAGTCTAGTCTATAGTCTAGTCTATAGTCTAGTCTATAGTCTAGTCTATAGTCTAGTCTATAGTCTAGTCTATAGTCTAGTCAATAGTCTAGTCTATAGTCTAGTCTATAGTCTAGTCTATAGTCTAGTCTATAGTCTAGTCTATAGTCTAGTCAATAGTCTAGTCTATAGTCTAGTCTATAGTCTAGTTTATAGTCTAGTCTATAGTCTAGTCTATAGTCTAGTCTATAGTCTAGTCTATAGTCTAGTCTATAGTCTAGTCTATAGTCTAGTCTATAGTCTAGTCTATAGACTAGTCTATAGTCTAGTCTATAGTCTAGTCTAGTCTAGTCTAGAGTCAAGTCTATAGTCTAGTCCAGAGTCTAGTCTATAGTCTAGTCTATAGTCTAGTCTATAGTCTAGTCTATAGTCTAGTCTATAGTCTAGTCTATAGTCTAGTCTATAGTCTAGTCTATAGTCTAGTCTATAGTCTAGTCTATAGTCCAGTCTATAGTCTAGTCTATAGTCTAGTCTATAGTCTAGTCTATAGTCTAGTCTATAGTCTAGTCTATAGTCTAGTCTATAGTCTAGTCTATAGTCTAGTCTATAGTCTAGTCTATAGTCTAGTCTATAGTCTAGTCTATAGTCTAGTCTATAGTCTAGTCTATAGTCTAGTCTATAGTCTAGTCTATAGTCTAGTCTATAGTCTAGTCTATAGTCTAGTCTATAGTCTAGTCTATAGTCTAGTCTATAGTCTAGTCTATAGTCTAGTCTATAGTCTAGTCTATAGTCTAGTCTATAGTCTAGTCTATAGTCTAGTCTATAGTCTAGTCTATAGTCTAGTCTATAGTCTAGTCTAGTCTAGTCTATAGTCTAGTCTATAGTCTAGTCTATAGTCTAGTCTATAGTCTAGTCTATAGTCTAGTCTATAGTCTAGTCTATAGTCTAGTCTATAGTCTAGTCTATAGTCTAGTCTATAGTCTAGTCTATAGTCTAGTCTATAGTCTAGTCTATAGTCTAGTCTATAGTCTAGTCTATAGTCTAGTCTATAGTCTAGTCTATAGTCTAGTCTATAGTCTAGTCTATAGTCTAGTCTATAGTCTAGTCTATAGTCTAGTCTATAGTCTAGTCTATAGTCTAGTCTATAGTCTAGTCTATAGTCTAGTCTATAGTCAAGTCTATAGTCTAGTCTATAGTCTAGTCTATAGTCTAGTCTAAAGTCTAGTCTATAGTCTAGTCTATAGTCTAGTCTATAGTCTAGTCTATAGTCTAGTCTATAGTCTAGTCTATAGTCTAGTCTATAGTCTAGTCTATAGTCTAGTCTATAGTCTAGTCTATAGTCTAGTCTATAGTCTAGTCTATAGTCTAGTCAATAGTCTAGTCTATAGTCTAGTCTATAGTCTAGTCTATAGTCTAGTCTATAGTCTAGTCTATAGTCTAGTCAATAGTCTAGTCTATAGTCTATAGTCTAGTCTTAGTCTAGTCTATAGTCTAGTCTATCGATCTAGTCTATAGTCTAGTCTATAGTCTAGTCTTAGTCTAGTCTAGAGTCAAGTCTATAGTCTAGTCCAGAGTCTAGTCTATAGTCTAGTCTATAGTCTAGTCTATAGTCTAGTCTATGTCTAGTCTATAGTCTAGTCTATAGTCCAGTTAGTCTATAGTCTCGTCTATAGTCTAGTCTATAGTCTAGTCTATAGTCTAGTCTATAGTCTAGTCTATAGTCTAGTCTATATTCTAGTCTATAGTCTAGTCTAAGTCTAGTCTATAGTCTCGTCTATAGTCTAGTCTATAGTCTAGTCTATAGTCTAGTCTATAGTCTCGTCTATAGTCTAGTCTATAGTCTAGGTCTATAGTCTAGTCTCTAGTCTAGTCTAAGTTAGTCTATAGTAGTCTATAGTCTAGTCTTATAGTCTAGTCTATCGTCTAGTCCTAGTCTAGTCTATAGTCTAGTCTATAGTTAGTCTATAGTCTAGTCTATAGTCTAGTCTATAGTCTAGTCTATAGTCTAGTCTATAGTCTAGTCTATAGTCTAGTACTATATCGTCTAGTCTATAGTCTAGTCTATAGTCTAGTCTATAGTCTAGTCTATAGTCTGTCTATAGTCTAGTCTATAGTCTAGTCTATAGTCTAGTCTATAGTCTAGTCTATAGTCTAGTCTATAGTCTAGTCTATAGTCTAGTCTATAGTCTAGTCTATAGTCTAGTCTATAGTCTAGTCTATAGTCTAGTCTATAGTCTAGTCTATAGTCTAGTCTATAGTCTAGTCTATAGTCAAGTCTATAGTCTAGTCTATAGTCTAGTCTATAGTCTAGTCTATAGTCTAGTCTATAGTCTAGTCTATAGTCTAGTCTATAGTCTAGTCTATAGTCTAGTCTATAGTCTAGTCTATAGTCTAGTCTATAGTCTAGTCTATAGTCTAGTCTATAGTCTAGTCTATAGTCTAGTCTATAGTCTAGTCTATAGTCTAGTCTATAGTCTAGTCAATAGTCTAGTCTATAGTCTAGTCTATAGTCTAGTCTATAGTCTAGTCTATAGTCTAGTCAATAGTCTAGTCTATAGTCTAGTCTATAGTCTAGTTTATAGTCTAGTCTATAGTCTAGTCTATAGTCTAGTCTATAGTCTAGTCTAGTCTATAGTCTAGTCTATAGTCTAGTCTATAGTCTAGTCTATAGTCTAGTCTATAGTCTAGTCTATAGTCTAGTCTATAGTCTAGTCTATAGTCTAGTCTATAGTCTAGTCTATAGTCTAGTCTATAGTCTAGTCTATAGTCTAGTCTATAGTCTAGTCTATAGTCTAGTCTATAGTCTAGTCTATAGTCTAGTCTATAGTCTAGTCTATAGTCTAGTCTATAGTCTAGTCTATAGTCTAGTCTATAGTCTAGTCTATAGTCTAGTCTATAGTCTAGTCTATAGTCTAGTCTATAGTCTAGTCTATAGTCTAGTCTATAGTCTAGTCTATAGTCTAGTCTATAGTCTAGTCTATAGTCTAGTCTATAGTCTAGTCTATAGTCTAGTCTATAGTCTAGTCTATAGTCTAGTCTATAGTCTAGTCTATAGTCTAGTCTATAGTCTAGTCTATAGTCTAGTCTAGTCTATAGTCTATAGTCTAGTCTATAGTCTAGTCTATAGTCTAGTCTATAGTCTAGTCTATAGTCTAGTCTATAGTCTAGTCTATAGTCTAGTCTATAGTCTAGTCTATAGTCTAGTCTATAGTCTAGTCTATGTCTAGTCTATAGTCTAGTCTATAGTCTAGTCTATAGTCTAGTCTATAGTCTAGTCTATAGTCTAGTCTATAGTCTAGTCTATAGTCTAGTCTAGTCTATAGTCTAGTCTATAGTCTAGTCTAGTCTATAGTCTAGTCTATAGTCTAGTCTATAGTCTAGTCTATAGTCTAGTCTATAGTCTAGTCTATAGTCTAGTCTATAGTCTAGTCTATAGTCTAGTCTATAGTCTAGTCTATAGTCTAGTCTATAGTCTAGTCTATAGTCTAGTCTATAGTCTAGTCTATAGTCTAGTCTGTTCGTCTGGCCTTCAAAAAAAACGTTTAAACTTTTTTACTTTTGCTATTTTTATGCCCTCCACTGTAGTTATATTTCTAAGTTTCAAATCAGAAATAGCAGTTTTGTTATTGTTTTTGTTGAACTTATTTACATCGCACAAAAACAATTAAAAATAACAACAAAAGCATGTGTATTGTTTATAAACAAAGAACAAAGAGGTTTAATGAACTTTTTATAATTTAAAAAAAAAACGAGAAAACAATTTGAAAAATATACAATTTTATCATTGAATTACTGCTGTCAGTAGATAAATTACGTATTATTTATCAATTAGAATACGAATGCATTGCATTTGTATATACGCATTTCGAAAAATATATAACTCTTCTATAATTCACGTTAA